CAATTATATATCTACCATGACACGTAATGATTAAACAAGTCCAAAATAAATCTACAVAACATAGTAAACAAATCTGCACAAAGAATAAGTAATGTACAATGTGAAATTTTTTGCCCAAGTTCTAACTAAATCTGCAGGCTATGTCAAACTAATTCAACAAATATATCTGCAGACAAGAATGAATTTAACTAAATCTGCAACAATATTCTCCAAATATGTCACCCAAATCATATCTACCAAACTCTGCAGAGACTGAACAAATATATCTGCAAATAAGTATGATTTTAACTAAATCTGCAACAACATTGTCCAAATATGTCACCCAAATCATATCTACCAAACTCTGCAGAGACTGAACAAATATATCTGCAAATAAGTATGATTTTAACTAAATTTGCAACAACATTGTCCAAATATGTTACCCAAATCATATCTACCAAACTCTGAAGAGACTAAACAAAAATATATCTGCAAAGAAGAATGATTTTAACTAAATCTGCAACAACATTGTCCACGTTTCTCTCATGAAAAYYGAACTTAATTGTTCAAAAAAAWTCCTCCAAAACATTCAGAACACTTGCTATAAAGTCTACACCATTTACCAGTAAATCTACACAAAAGCCACCAAATTAACAATTTTTTCCTTATTTCTCAAACCTATTTCGTTCAAACGGACGAACTATGCAACGAACGCAGAACGAAATCTTCATAAAACCAAACCAAAATTAGGGTTTCTGTTTTTTGCCTTCGTAACGATTACGACAACCCAAACCACAATATAGTTTCATACCTCAGTAACAAGTGAATGTTGGTGTCCGAAGTAGAACCGATAACCCTAAACCCTAACGACAACACCAAACGAAKAACCAAAGAAGATGATTGATGGTTTTACTCTCCCTAATCTTCTAAACGGACCCTTGCGAAATAATTTCCGACAATAGAATTGCTTTCTCACCCTTGTCCGAAGCAATTTCCACACTCCTTTCTCTCTGATTTTTTCGCACAAACATAACAAAAGAGAAGAAGAAGATGAGCAGTTGCCAAAA